AAGGTCTTCTTAAAAATGAGAAAGGACCCCCTGAAAAACAAGAAGTAGCCCGTGAGAAAATCTCAGAAATTGAGAAATTTGCCTTTGGGGGTGGAGAATCAAATATTTTGATCCCCTGACTTGTCGGAAGATTTTATATTATCGTCAGTTCTGACAAATTTACCAGCCAGAACATTAAACTCCCTTTGTCTCTCAAAATATGAGTGACCTACTGTTTATTAACAGCATTTTTTTAGTTTGTCATTCAGATTTTCCTCAGTACTTCATGTGTAGTGTTCACTAGTAACATTCATGGGGCTACTTTCATGTTTTTTTTAACTAACTGTGGTTAGTAATGCGATAGTCTTTTAAAATACTTGAGTTCTTGAATATTTTGAAGGTATTGGGAAAGTTGGAATGAACTCAGCTTTTTCAAGCTCTTTGAACATGAAATGCCACCAGAAGGTTGGAAAGACGCTAATGTTCCATTTTGGTCAGAAACGTGATCCTGGGAATCTCAATATTTTAGTGTTATTTATAGCACAGGGGTGGGAGTTATGGAGCTAGGGAAGGATTTTAAGTGCAAAAATAGCATCGCATGAGGAAAGAAAGAATCCAAGTTCATCATATTGGACTGAGCACTTGGGAGTTGGATGATACAGTGCTTGAGCAATCTTTCACCTTCAGAACTTGGATTTGTGTCCAGCCCAGATGTAAATCTCAATCTGTTAGCCATGATGGCACAACTTACAAAGAAGTCAGAACTGAGTCAGTTCAGGACAGGCAGGCAAATGACAGAAAACCTTTCAAATTTGCCATTGAATGAGACATGCCTCTTGGAAAATTCACTGCACAGCTACAAATGAAGGGAAGCCATTCATACTAATGTAGTTGTTGGAATCCTTGTGAGTTGAGTATAATGCACAATAATGGAATGGAGTGGAAGAAGTTTTACTCTGTGGTTGCATTAGAACTTAAGACTAGCTCAGTTGGCTGGATGTTCCTCACTTGAGGCCAAGTGCTCCTAGAGTTAAATTCACTGCCAGTTGTTTCACTCTCTCTCTCTCTCTAAACAGAGAGCAGCTTCTGGGACTGTGGCAACTTTACTTTCAAACATATTTGTTGATCTAGCATGGGATATTAAAACTATTTCATTCCACAGTACTAAAATCTCTTAAAATCTGATTAGCATTAAAAAACCCAGAAATGAGCCAAAGCAATAAATACGGGCTAAATTCCATTTATGAAAAGGAAAACAATCCTGACCAAAGAACCATAATTATTCAGGGAATGTAGCAGCTTCAAAATGGTAAAATGGCTGCTGCAAATCTTGTTTTTTTTATTTCTGAAGGCATTTAATAAATTGTCTCAGAGGAGAGTTTTAAATAGAGCAAAAAGGTTTTGAAATAAAGCATGAAATTGTAAATTGGACATATAATAAGGAACAGAGGGTCAGTGGTGTAGCCTACTGATAGTTCAAAACTGAAATAAAACACAGGAAATACAGTGCATGTCAGTCCACATCTGTGGAGAGAATAAATGATTTAACAGTTCAGACTTTGTCAGATCAAAATAAAAGATTGAAAGATCAGCTAGCATTTTAATGGAATCGCAACAAGGAGGAGGATGGGAGCGCAGAGTTTTGGTAGTGTTACAAAGTTGTGCAGAGTAATCATGAATTGGAAGGCAGGAAGCTAGAATTTGTTTGTAGACAAATGGTAAGGGCGAAGAGTGTGTGGTTCCTTTAAGATGTAAACTGCTTTTCTCAGCTTAGAAATTTATACAAGAGAAAAAAAATGTGTCTGAATGTAGCTGAAAATGTACAGCCAGTTCTGAAATTGAAACATGTATCAAATGGCTGTGTGATTGGAAACCTTAGACTTGTTTTGATGTTTTGGCAAACAGCTGTAATCAGCCAATTAATTTAAACCAAGCACTTAGAAATTGAAAACCAATTGAATTGAAATCTGGTGGTTTTGGCAGTCTCGGACCAATGCTATTGTAAGAAAATTGATTTGTCATCCAAGGTATTTAAGGAGAGGGTTTTTGAAAATCAGTGTGAGAGCAAACCGCCATCTGAGAAATAAACAGATAGCTCTCACAGAAATCTCTAAGCTCTCTCTAAGAAAACACCATCTACCCATAAGAGGTACCACGGCACTTGTAGCTAAAGTCCTCACAAAAGAATTCACAGAGAAAACAGTCCAGACAGCAGGGTCAGCAGAAGAAAGGCGCTTATGTCTGGAGAGACAGCAGAGAAGGCAGAACATTCTGGAAGACACATTCGGTGTGGATTTTGAGAGACTAAGTTTTAATACTGGACCTTGGACCACACCAACACCTTTCATTGCAATGCTGTCACTGGGTCTTTTTGTGCAAAGGAACAGGTACCCATCTCATAAACTCGTACAGGGTCCATCACAGGTTAAAAACTGAAAGGACTACTCAGTTTTGAGGAAGGGTCACCAGACTCGAAACGTTAACTCTGTTTTTTCCTTCACGGATGCTGCCAGACCTACTGAGCTTTTCCAGCAACTTTGCTTTTGTTCCATCACAGGTTACTCATTTATTCTCTTAGTGCTTACTCAATTTGCACCTATATGGATGCTCACTGCGTCTCTACCCTGCCTTGCCTTTTTGAGCTCTATTGCCTCATTCAGAACTTACAGGCTCACAGTACTTCTGACCTGCCTTGCCTTTTAGTACAGTCACAATGCTAGACAGCATGTCAGCAGTGACCAGTTAATGGGGAGGGCATGTTCCTGTAGAGCTCCATGTTACATTAATTTTGCACCTACAGTATGTGGCAGCAGTTTATTATTGGACATTCAGTGGGTCAAGACTGTGGAGAGATTTAAAGATGGTAGAGGATATTAGTTTTAAGATGCTAAGGAATGAAATGCAAATACAGATCAATGAGATTGAGATTTTGATGAGTAAGATTTAGAACAAGACAAAATAACTGCAGCTGAATTTTGGAAAAGATAGAGTTTGCAAAAGACTGAGGATGGGAAACTAACAGAGTATTGTATAATTTGAGTTTGGAGAGGCTTAAGGTAATAAGTGACTCAGTGGCAAAAATGCCACCATTATAGAAGTGGAAGTAAATGGTCTTTTTGATAGAAAAATTGTTGTATATGAAACTCAACCCATGTTCCACAAGATACTAAGGTTGGTACCTTTGCTTTTTTAGTATGAGTTCATACGTTTGGCATTTTGAAGTTTTGACCAAGACAATTCCTTAATTAGACTCAGGTGGACAGACTCAGACTTCCTGATGTTGTTCAATTCCTGCTTTCGAACCTTAACCCATAAAGGTCTGATTCAGCAATAAGCTCCATAACAATAATATTAAACAAAGAACCGCGGAAGCTGGAAATATGGAAGGGAAACAGAAATTGTTGAAGGAATTCAGCAGTTCTGAAAACATCTGTGGAGTGAAAACTGAGCTATTGGTTAAAGTTCAGTTAGCCTGTTCTGAAGAAGGGTTGCTGGATTTTAAACATTAACTCACTTTTCTATTCACTGATGCTGCCTGACCTGCTCAGTTTCTCCAGTGACATAACCAGAACTTGTTATGAAATAGGACATTCCTAAAAAGCACCTATTATTGTTGATATTCAGCTAAGGTAAACTGATTTCAGAAAATTAGAGGAGAGAGCTTGGGGAATGGTATCTTGTGCAGAATTTGGTTGATTTATTTGCTGAAGATGAAAATTAATTGAAACTGTCCATAACTAATGTCTTCACATCACAAAACAAAGAGGCAAAAGAAAAGAAGCAGAGATCAATATTAAAATTAGTTTCTGAATCCCAGACCTCATCGTGTGATCTCCCAGTCCTGGTCAGTCAATACAGCAACTTGAAGCTCTGATTTTAAAGGAAATGTGATATAACAAGTGTTTCAGTTTGTATCTTCAATCTTTCTGTCTTTAATAAGGTTGGGTACCCTTTTTTCCCTTTCCAAAGTAATCCTGATGAAATATGTCTGAACTAAAATTGCTGTTTACCAAATCACAGCATCTTTGGAGTGAGAATTAGAGTTAAATTTGCAGGATGATTACCTGACAAAAGTTCAGAGGGTTCAGGGAAGATTTATGAGAATTATTCTGGATATGAAACACATTAATTCAATGGATGATTTGGGAAAATTGGGACTGTTCTGCCCAGAGAAGGGCAGTTTAGGAGGAGATTTAATAGAGATGTCCAAAGAGAGGGTAGATATGGAGAAACTGTTCTCATTGATGGAAGGGACAACCAGATAACATTGATTTAGGGTGATTGGCACAAGAAGGAATAATGTGAAGAAAAATGTTTTGCGCAGCAAGTAGAATGCAATGAATAGGGGTAAAGCACAGGAGTAAAATTAATTGAATAGGTCTTTTAGTAAACCAGCGCAGACACAACGGACTGAATGGTTTCAACCAATCCTGTTAATTATTTAATGATTCCAGTCTATGACTTTCCCAACTGATATGAATAACTAAATAAACAACACAGCTACATAAATCTCTGTGTATGACAGAGGGAGCAACACTTTAGCATTTCGGTTTTTACTTTAGCATTCATCTGTTTGAATACTGAAGTTTTATGGTAGCACTGAGAATAAGCTAAAACTTTTGTTTAATGCTCATTTAAATCTTTCCTTTAATAAGTAGCTCCACTAAAATATGTTTAAGCTTATCATTTTTGTAGACCACCTTCAATTCTAGATTATTATTATTATCTCAACTCTTGAATGACTGCACAATTCACCCAGATATTATTGTCTATTCCAGGTATAAACAAATCAACAACAGTGGGTGGACCCATAAATAATATGCAACACAATCTGTAAAATGCAATTTTGAAATTTGACTCTGTCATTTGCCACAGTGACATGCTGTAAATAATGCTATGAATATGATGAACTAATACTTTTGCAGAAATAATACAAAAAATTGCTGAGTTTAGGCTTTGTTTTGTTTTTGATGTTTAATAAATGCGCAAGAAAACTCTGACTAATTTCATTGTGTGAAAATAGTTTTCATGGGTTTTTATTATCAGTAATTTTCCACTGGAGGGTACAGGGCTTACAAACATTAAGTCTTTGCACATTCTATGAATAGCCAGTGAGTTTGCCAAGTCTTCCTGTCAAAAATGTTGTGCACTCTGATGTTCGCTAAGAGCTGTGTTAACATGAATTAGTTCAGCTGAAGAATTCAGGATTCTGCATGCACCCAAGGCTCAGTCTTTTCACATAAGCACAGGTTTCTTACAGAAATAAAAGATTTAAAGGTGTTTCAACACAAACAAGCAATTTTGTAGGTAAAAATATTCGCTCATGGATTTTATTGTTTTAAAGTGTTACTCCAATATTATATTTCTCAGCTTGTTCAAGATGGCAGCTGAAGCGATTTTCAGAAGTCTTTTTTTCCACTTCAATTGCTGGCTGGCACTGCTGATCCATATTTAGCAGGTTTCATTTCTGCTTTGTACATGCTGGTTCTGTTCACGTTCAGTTGTGATACTCTGCTGTTTTCTTAATAGGGAATTTGAGCTAATTAGATAGAAGTGTGAGCATAAAATGTGCATATAACTGATGTTAGACATGACATGTAGCATGCATTAGATAAACTGTTTAGATAACAGTAGATAAATGAAAAAAAAGTTTTCAGTGTGCTTTTCAAAAATAATAAATTAGCTTCAAATTCTGACAAGCTTTATTAACAATCAAGAAAGTAGTGCAGCAAGGGAAGAGTAGGCAATGTTTTATTTATAAATGCATGAAATGCTGAAGCATTCAAAAGGAAACTAAATAAATCTCTGATGGAGCCGTGAATAGAGATCACAATCACATCCAAAATGCATTGAGAGTAACAATAAATCAAGTCAAAAAATGTCCAACATACATGTATTCATAGTTAATGGCAACATAACTTTATAAATATAAGAAGAACTGCAAATGTTGGAAATTCAGAGCTCTGAAAATGCTGGAGTACATTTAGCAGGTTAGTCTATAGTGGTGGAGAGTACAATCAAGCATATTAGGTGTAAATCTTTCTTGAGAACTTGCGTAACAATAAATAACATCTAAACTGTGCTTGGCCTACAAAAGCAAAGCTGGGAAGGTGTAGTCAAAGCCCCTGAAGAAATTCCAAGTACAAAATGCAGGGAAGGAATCTGACCAGATACCGAAATAACATAACTTTATGAACATACAAACATATGAATAGGGAGCAGGAATAGACTTTTCAGCCTCTTGAACCTGCTTTGCCATTGAATAAGATCACAGCTAATCTGACTACTCCACATCCTGGGCCTACTCACAGCCTTTCACCCATTTGATTAGCAAGAATCTATCCACTCATGGTCGACTGGTTAGCAAGGTTAGATCACATGGAATACAGGGAGAACTTGCCATTTGGATACAGAACTGCCTCAAAGTAGATGACAGAGGGAGGTGGTAGAGGGTTGCTTTTCAGACTGGAGGCCTGTGACCAGCGGTGTGCCACAAGGATCAGTGCTGGGTCCACTGCTTTTCATCATTTACATAAATGATTTGGATGTGAACATAACAGGAAAGGTTACTAAGATTACACCAGATTACACCAAAATTGGAGGTGTACTGAACAGCGAAGAAGGTTACCTCAGAGTACAACGGAATCTTGATCAAATGGGCCAATGGGTTGAGGAATGGAAGATGGATCTTAATTTAGATAAATGTGAGATGCTGCATTTTGGAAAGGTAAATCAGGGCAGGATTTATACATTTAATGATAAGGATCTGGGGAGTATCGCTGAACAAAGAGACCTTGGAGTGTAGTTTCATAGTTCCTTGAAAGTGGAGTCCCAGCTAGATAGGATAGTGAAAGTAGCATTTGGTAGGCTTGCCTTTATTGGTCAGTGCATTGAGTATAGGAGTTGGGAGGTCATCTTGTGGCTGTACAGAACATTGGTTGGGCCACTTTTGGAATACCGCTTGCAATTCTGGTCTCCCTGCTATCGGAAGGATGTTGTAAAACTTGAAAGGGCTCAGAAAAGATTTACAAGGATGTTGCCAGGTTTGGAGGGTTTGAGATATAAGGAGAGGCTGAATAGCCTGGGGCTATTTTCCCTGGAGTGAAGGAGGCTGAGGGGTGACCTTATAGATGTTTATAAAATCATGAGAGGGCATGGATATGGTAAATAAACAAGGTCTTTTCCCTGGAGTGGGAGAGTCCAAGAGTAGAGGGCATAGGTTTAAGGTGAGAGGGAAAAGATTTAAAAGGGATCTATGGGACAACCTTTCCATGCAGAGGGTAGTGTGTGTATGGAATGAGCTGCCAGGGGAGATGGTGGAGGTGGGTACAATTGTAACATTCAAAAGGCATCTGGATGGGTATATGAATAGGAAGAGTTTACAGTGATATGGGCCAAATTCTGGCAAATGGGACTAGACTAATTTAGGATGTCTAGTCAGCATGGATAAGATGGACCAAAGGCTCTGTATGACTCTATGACTCTAACCACTGCCTTAAAAGTATTTAAAGACACAGCTTTCTACCACCTTTGAAGAAGAACATTCCAAAGACTCACAATACTTGGTTAAAGAAAAAAAAAACTTATCTTTGTAGTAAATGGTGACCCTTTAGTCTTAAATAGTGAACCCTAATTCTACAATCTCCCACAAGGAAATATCCTTTCAACATCCACCCTGCAAACATTTCTCAGGATCTTGTTTGTCTGTTTGAATTTCCAATCCAGGCTATATAGTCAACAAATTCTGTGATGAAGATCCATGATGTATTATTATTTAGAAACCTGGGTTCTGAAATGGATGAAGGAATGTAAAGTTTTAGGTTTGATTTGTATTTCTATATTGTGTGAGTTAGGAAAGGAAGGAGCTAATTTTAGTTCCTTTTTTGAGTGCTGTGAGAGGCACCATGGTTTCTGAAGTTTTGTTTACATGTATATAAATGAAACTTTTAAAACCCTTGTGGTTATTTGTCTCATGTCTTCACAACAAGGTAGGGCTGTAAGTGTCCTATGTCGGATGGAGATAGCGACAGAATTCAATTCTTTTATAAAGGCAAAACCATCCAGACGGTCAGTGAATGGCAGATTTCTTTTCAAAGCAGTTTCATTAAAAGATCTGTACTAGCAGTAGTACAATTTAGTAATGTTTAGAACAGTCAGTGCAGAAGAGAAGATGTCCTGAGTAGCTTATGATTTAAGCGAAGAGCTCCAGAAACAAGAGGCTGTGAAAAGGGAGTTTAAAAAAAAATGTAAAGAATAACTTAAGTGTGGTAGCAGTTGTTTTAGGCACTTAGGATGAGACAAGGACTAAGGAGATATCATTGAGTGAATGCAGAAGCTTGTCAGAAAGAAATAATATAAAACCATGTCAAGAGAACAAGAAACTTTACCCTTTAAAGTGACCTTTCGCTGGGCTTGAGTATCTGTAAGGATGGTGTTGTGGGTAATGCGGTTGACTTCTTATTTTTATATTTGTAAGAAGGCCATTTCAATTAATTCTTGAAGAATGTAATACCTCATTTTTTTCCTTTTGTGTGTAATAAACTGTAATGTTCTTTTATTAGAAGAATATCAGCACCCTCTTGTCAATATGATCAGTGACTGACCACCATGGTAATCAAATTGCAGAAATAAAACTGATGGCCAATCAAGCCAGGTTTCACCTTGGGATTTGACTTTTTCAAATTAGCACAAGCTGGTATCATAACAATATGTCCTTCCAGCAAGATGGTGGCAGGTTAAGTTGCTCCATTCGGAGCTCCACTCTGCTCATCAGTTCTCTTTCTCTTTCTTTCTTTGTCCTTCCTTTTTCTCTCTTCCCTTCTTCTCTGTCCCTCTGTAGTAATTCTATCCTCCCCCCACCCTTTTTAACTACCGACCTAAAGAGTGGGGAAGGGGCTGGGCTGTGATCAGGAACCACGTGGCAGGAGCTGAACATGAGGGTTGTGTCCTGCAGCGACAGTGGATTGAGCCTGGGCCAGAGCGACGGTGGTGGATCATGAGTGGGTCTGCGGTGGTGGGCCGGTGAGGCAGCGGCGGTGAGACCGGGCCGGTGAGGCAGCGGCGGTGAGACCGGGCCGGTGAGGCAGCGGCGGTGAGACCGGGCCGGTGAGGCAGCGGCGGTGAGACCGGGCCGGTGAGGCAGCCCAGAGTGGAACACCAGTAGTGGCATGGCGAGGGCTGGAAAACCCTGAGCGGGACTGCGGCAGTGAAATGGAAAGTTGGACACTCTTAAATTATCTTTCTTTCCTTAGCTTATTCTAAGTTAATGTGAATAGGGCCATGTAGGTATGGCAAAGGTACATACTTCTCACTGTATCTTTTATTGAATATATGTGACAATAAATGATTCAATTCAATTCAATTCAATTCAATTGTGTCTCAGATCTGAAATATAGAGTTCAGCGGCAAGTAATATGTTATGAATGAAATGATTCCTACAAGCATCCAACAGGAGTGGTTATCTCAGTTTACTTATTCAGGATCAGAGTTTAAAAGTCTCAAATCATGGGAGAATCACAGGCTATGTAGGAAACACATAAATACTCAACTATTTGCCAACATGCAATGATGCAGACACGAATGATTAAACTAATGGTTTTAAATGGGAATAATATAATACGTTACATTGACAGTTCTCCAAACATTGGTGAGATATTTACCAGGAATTTAAGATCATGCACCGTTTCAACTAAGATTCCAATGTCATTTTCTGCCTCCAAACTACAGGCCTAATAAGAGACCATTAGTGTTAAAGGGAAATTGCAGACCTAGAGATAATGACAAAAAAAAATTATCTTTACAAAGGACATTTCATGCAGCAATTTAACAGCACCCAGGAATGATAAAGGTCCTTGAAGCACCGATAAATATTATGGCTGTAGTCCTGTTGGGCATTTAGAAATGCTATCTTAGAAGGCAAACAGGATCAAATGCTATGCAATGTACAAATTTACAATATTGTAATATTTACTTAGTTATCTTCCTCCTCACGTACAATAATGTTCATCTCTTTTTGTATTCTTTGAAGGGAAGTTGGTATTGGTAGGTGCTGCCCCTCTCTAATAGCTGAGTAGCTTACCAGGCTAAATCAGAGGGCAGTAAGGTGTTAACTGCATTGTTATTGGTCTGGAGTCAAATGTAGGCCACGTCGGGTAAGAACAGCCTATTTACTTCCCAAAAGAACATTAGTATACACAGAGATAGTAGGAACTGCCGATGCTGGAGGATCTGAGAAAACAAGGTGTAGAGCTGGATGAACACAGCAGGCCAAGCAGCATCAGAGGAGCAGGAAAGCTGACATTTCGGGTCTGGACCCTTCTTCCCCTGAAGATTAGTTTTTAAGGCAATTGGTGATTGTTTCATGGTCATCTTTGCTGAGACTAACTTTCAGTTCCATATTTAAAAAAAACACATTGAATATAAATTCCAACAATTGCAATGGTGGGATTTGAGCACATGTCCCTAGAGCATTAACCTGGTTCTCTGTTCGAGTGACAGGAAGACTACACCACCATTTGCTCGCAAAGCGGCAGGTCCTAAGAGGATTCCACTGTAGGCTGTTGTTGTTGCAAGGCTATGACCTACATGGCATTCTGAGGAGCTAGGCAAAATACCATGCAACATGTTACTCTGAGAAACAGTAGCCTCATGCACATTGACTGCAACCATTGCCATTTTATTGAGGAACAAAAACAAAGTTGCTGGAAAAGCTCAGCAGGTCTGGCAGCACCTATGAAGGAAAAAACAAAGTTAACGTTTCGGGTCCGGTGACCCTTCCTCAGAATAGAGCAAAGGTCCATTTTATTGAGATCTGGAGTTGTTTATCCATCTGAGATGGTTAATAATGGCTGCCATCAGATCCTAAAAAGGCAATGATAGAAATGAGACAAAACAGAATTTCCTAGAGAAGCTCAGCAGGTCTGGCAGCATCTGTGGTGAGAAAACAGAATTATAGTATATTGATAGCATCATGTCTAAAGAAGGGTCACTGGACCTGAAATATTAACTCTGTTTTCTCTCTCTCTGTTTTTCCAGCAATTCCTGTTTTTGTTTCAGATTTTCAGCATCCAAAGTTCTTTATTTTATATTACTACGATAGAAATGAGCTGAGTCTTTGTTTCAAATGTCTGAAACTAGTTTACATGTTTCTATCTAGTCTGCTTCATACTATCATCAGGCTTTCAGTCTGTGATTCACAGAAGGAGGAAGCACTGACTTAGCCCGGTCATTTCAAGGCTATGGACCTAATGCTGGCAAGTGGTACTAGAGCAGATTTAGTGTAATTTTGTTGGTACAGACTCAATGGGCTGAAGGGCCTCATCTATATTGTATGATTCCACGACGCTGCAGGCTCCAATATCACATATTCATTGTAATGAGGAAGGGGATTCCATATTGGCTTTGCAAATAAAAACATTTGTATGACACACATGTCAGTTGACATGTTTTCCCAGACAACAAGTAAATGTTGTATTGTTTGAGCTTCCATTTTATTCTTTCCTGTGTATTTCTACTGAAGTATTACATCTCTGATATTGATAATTGTACAACTCTACACAAAATCAGTATATAGTAATATAAATATATGGAGAGAGAGAGAATGGTACACAGCTAAATCCACCGGGGGCAAATAGTTAATGCACATGTGTAAACGGGCCTTGCAGCTGGGCGTTCAGCTGTGTATAGCATTCATCGAGAATAAACAAAGAAACTCATCTTATTAGAAAAATAACACAGCACTTATTATTTTTACAACTTTGGTCTCCCTGATTTTCAATCTATTCTACTTCGGCAATATTCCCAAGCATCATTTTTATGTTGTCTAATTGTGTTGGATTTATAACAATGTACAATGTCTTTCAAGAAAGCCAGCTGCTTAGAAGAAAACAGAATGTTACTTTCTGATAACCTATGTAAATCCATTCTATTCCAGACAATAGCCGCAGATGGATAAGGGGCTTGCATTAGACAAACAATGGGACAGTAATCAATTAAAATTCAAGTCTTTGACTTTCTCTGTTACTTATTATGGACATAATAGGCTGGATTTTCTGGACATGGGGAGGACCAATGCATTGGCAAGCTTTGGAGCATTTGGAATGCTGTGCTGCTGAGGCAAAAACTTCAAAGGAATATTGAGCACAATGGCTACAAGAAAAGGCTGAGGAAGCGGACAATCATCCTTACACCCATTGCTTTTTGTTTCTCTTCCTGTACCTAATTTAATGCTGAACTAATGCAGTCTAATTTACAAATTCTTTTTTGTCCGAGTACTGTACTGTTAATTTCACAATTATTCAATTTGATTACTTAAGGAATTACATAGTTGCTTGTCCTCTTCAGTCATGTCCCAGATGCTGGTCCTCCCTTGCTGTAATGTTATCAGTTTAAAAGTTCAGCAACATGGGATGGAAAATATCATCACATTAAAGGGCAAGTCGAACCATCTGTGGGCAAGGAGATAACAACGTGTAGAGCTGGACTAACACAGCAGGCCAAGCAGCATCAGAGGAGCGGGAAGGCTGATGTTTCGGGCCTAGACCCTTCTTCAGAAATGTGCCTTGCACTGCATTTCTGTCAGTGCCTTTTTAGGATCTGATGGCAGCCATTATTAACCATCTCAGATGGATAAACAACTCCAGATCTCAATAAAATGGCAATGGTTGCAGTCAACGTGCATGAGGCTACTGTTTCTCAGAGTAACATGTTGCATGGTATTTTGCCTAGCTCCTCAGAATTGCTATGGCAATTTTTAGCCAATTGTTACTTTTTCCATAGACAGAATCGGAATGAAGAGGGGGGAATGGTCACACACACTGTTGTTTTGATACAGTGCATGTAAAAATGTATGACAAAGCCTGTGTTTTCCTAAAATATAAACTGTTGGATGGCTGTAGACTACATATTCAGGGGTCCAAAGAACTTGTGAAAGATTCAGCCTGCATAACTTTCTTTTCTTATAGTTCATAAGCGTGAAAGTTAATTATTTATTGTACCCATTAAATTAAAATAAATTACTTTTCAGTGGGGTTAGGAGGGAATAAAATTTGGAAATATTTCCTGTTCCATGATTGTTTTCCATTGTGGAAACAGACTAGGGATACTTCAAAGAATCTAGAAGGCTGAATAACAACTGAATAACAATAATGTACAAGTGCTGTGTACATTATGAATGGAAATAAAATGGGAAATGTAGATTGTAAAGAGAAAAGTACTCGTGAAGGAATGTTAGTCTGAAATTAAGGGAAACCAATGCTGTTGCCTTTTGACCTGAGGACATTCTTCACATACAATTTAGTCCAAATATGGTCTGATCATAGTTTGCAAATAACTGTAAGTGTAATCACTATTTCCAGAACTGATCATCAAATGACATCACATTCAAGCAAGTAGTCAATGGCATCTGAAATAACCCATGTCTTCAGTAAAGTACTTGTTCAAAGATACAATGACATTCCCCTTCCTTTGTATCCTGAAGCATACATATTTTGCATTGGCAATTCATAAATATCATTGCTTTTTTGCCCAGATCCTCAAAAAACCGCTCTATTGAGTGATGCCAATACGCAGCTACATGCATGGATATATCATATTGAAAAATATTTGACAGATAGGGTTAATCCAGTGATAGACAACTTAATGTAAGTATTTCTTCCCTTTCTGGTGCTCTTAGATTCATAGAATCCCTACTGTGTGGAAATAGGACATTTGGCCCAACAGGTCCACATGACCCTCTGAAGAGCATCCCAGCCAGACCCATTCCCTAACCCTATCCTGTAATCCTGCATTTCCCATGGCTAACCCACCTACACCCCTGAACACTGTGGGCAACTTAATGTGGTCAGTCCACCTAACTTGCACGTCTTTGGATTGTGAGTGGAAACTGGAGCACCCAATGGAAACCCACACAGACACAGGGGGAATATGCAAACTCCATACAGACAGTCACCCAAGGGTGGAATTGAACCTGGGTCCCTAACATTGTGAGGCAGCAGTGCTAACCGCTGAGCCACTGTGCTGCCCCAGATGCTTTGTAATTTACAGTACCTTGCTTCTTTTTTGGTGATGCTGAAATGTACTGATGATAACACCATAACCCATATGAGGAAAATTAAAAAATCAGAATGCCAGATTATTTTAATGGAGTTTGCTAGTGCAGTCCTGCATTTAAAAATTACAAGGTGGTCTGCGATTTATGATCTGATTTATGAACGCTTGTAGTTACAAATGAGATCCCATATAATTATTATTAGTTTAAGGATCTTACATTGTACACTGGATATTTTACATTGTACTGTATCATGTTCCTACTTGTGAACAAATCGACTTATGAATGTACCCAGAAATGGAACCCTGGGGACTGCTTGTACATACATTGTATTGTCCACTATATCTTTGTTCTGAATTACCTGAATACCAAGATGGAGAAAAATATAACAGTATTATTTAGACTTAAAGAGTGAATGCCACATTTGTATTTCTGAATGTTTATGTTTTCTTCCATTTTGACACTTTATAATGAAACATGTCTAAGTCAAGGTGGAGGTGTTATGAAGTGATTTTTGAAGGAATATTATTTTTAAGGATTATGTAAATATATCTTGAACATATAAATGAAGGACACTTTGCTGAGGAAAAGGCATTGGGGTACAACAGCCACAATATTGCACAGGATGGAGGAAAATCAGTTGAATCATACAGTCTGAAGAACTTTTAGAGATAGATTACATGGCCCAGGTCTTGCGTGGGATAAGGCAATTGCATTTTT